TTGAGGCTAGTGTTTGGTACATTTTGTCAGAAATTGTGCCAGTGGGAAAACCTGGATACACTGATAGGATTGATCTTGTGGTTTGCTAGTGCATTGGATCATTGACATAACTGGATACTTTGGCAGAAATCAAAAATATATTTCTGGATAGTGTCCATTATATGTATGTATGTATGTATGTATGAATGTATGAATGTATGTATGTATGTATGTATGTATGTATGTATGTATGTATGTATGTATGTATGTATGTATGTATGTATGTATGTATGTATGTATGTATGTATGTATGTATGAATGTATCTATGTATGAATGTATGTATGTATGGCTGGCTGGCTGGCTGGCTGGCTGGCTGGCTGGCTGGCTGGCTGGCTGGCTGGCTGGCTGGCTGGCTGGCTGGCTGGCTGGCTGGCTGGCTGGCTGGCTGGCTGGCTGGCTGGCTGGCTGGCTGGCTGGCTGGCTGGCTGGCTGGCTGGCTGGCTGGCTGGCTGGCTGGCTGGCTGGCTGGCTGGCTGGCTGGCTGGCTGGCTGGCTGGCTGGCTGGCTGGCTGGCTGGCTGGCTGGCTGGCTGGCTGGCTGGCTGGCTGGCTGGCTGGCTGGCTGGCTGGCTGGCTGGCTGGCTGGCTGGCTGGCTGGCTGGCTGGCTGGCTGGCTGGCTGGCTGGCTGGCTGGCTGGCTGGCTGGCTGGCTGGCTGGCTGGCTGGCTGGCTGGCTGGCTGGCTGGCTGGCTGGCTGGCTGGCTGGCTGGCTGGCTGGCTGGCTGGCTGGCTGGCTGGCTGGCTGGCTGGCTGGCTGGCTGGCTGGCTGGCTGGCTGGCTGGCTGGCTGGCTGGCTGGCTGGCTGGCTGGCTGGCTGGCTGGCTGGCTGGCTGGCTGGCTGGCTGGCTGGCTGGCTGGCTGGCTGGCTGGCTGGCTGGCTGGCTGGCTGGCTGGCTGGCTGGCTGGCTGGCTGGCTGGCTGGCTGGCTGGCTGGCTGGCTGGCTGGCTGGCTGGCTGGATGGCTGGATGGCTGGATGGCTGGCTGGCTGGCTGGCTGGCTGGCTGCTGGCTGGCTGGCTGGCTGGCTGGCTGGCTGGCTGGCTGGCTGGATGGATGGATGGATGGCTGGCTGGCTGGATGGATGGCTGGATGGATGGATGGATGGATGGATGGCTGGATGGCTGGCTGGCTGGATGGCTGGATGGCTGGCTGGCTGGATGGATGGATGGATGGATGGCTGGATGGATGGATGGATGGCTGGATGGCTGGCTGGATGGATGGCTGGCTGGCTGGCTGGATGGATGGATGGCTGGCTGGCTGGCTGGCTGGCTGGCTGGCTGGCTGGCTGGCTGGCTGGATGGATGGATGGATGGATGGATGGATGGATGGATGGATGGATGGATGGATGGATGGCTGGATGGATGGATGGCTGGATGGATGGATGGATGGCTGGATGGCTGGCTGGATGGATGGATGGCTGGCTGGCTGGATGGATGGATGGCTGGCTGGCTGGCTGGCTGGATGGATGGATGGATGGATGGATGGATGGATGGCTGGCTGGATGGATGGATGGATGGCTGGATGGATGGATGGATGGCTGGATGGATGGCTGGCTGGATGGATGGATGGATGGAGGCTGGCTGGCTGGCTGGCTGGATGGCTGGCTGGCTGGCTGGCTGGCTGGATGGATGGATGGATGGATGGATGGATGGATGGATGGATGGATGGATGGATGGATTATGTATCTATGTATGTATCTATGTATCTATGTATTTATGTATGTATGTATCTATGTATGTTGTTGTTGTTGTGTTTAAAGCCATTTTTCAGCACATAATAGGCTATTCATGGCGGCCAGTATTAATGGTGGAGGAAGAAGCCGGAAATCACTGGAAAGAACCACCGACCCCACGAGAAGCTACTGGCATGCTTTCTCACATAGATACATACATACATAAAGGAAACATCCAAATAAATGTAAACATGAAGAACAAAATAAAATATAAGCTGTAAACATGTTAAAATTCTGTACAATTTATATAAAATAAAAGTTAATGCTCATAAAATCCTTATAATATCTTGATGCTAATGCCTGGTGTATTTTGCATACTGTCATTATATCGATTAGATGAATGATGTTCAAACCAGTTTTCTGTTCAGTCTTTAAATCAAAACCCATTTTGTCAGCATTTACTCTTCATAGAAAATAAATGAGGCATACAATCCTGTTTGAAGTTCTGTTAAACTTGGTTTGTAATTAGATCTGTATGTTTCACAAATTGTTATCAATTATAGATAATAGAGACATTGCATAAATGGCGTCATTGTGTATCTGGATTATATCTTGATTAAAAATAAAGCAATATTAGGTTGCATGGTTTTTTTTTAAAAAAAATTTCCTTTATGTTTGAAGGTATTGGTACATGTTCTTCATGGTTTATTATAAAGTGGTGTAATAATTACATATAATCGAGAAAAAGAAAAGATTATTGTTAGATATTTAAATTTGAAGGGGCTTGAGAAATCAGTGGTGAATCCATGTACATCAGTTTTGGATGAAAAATATTTCATTGCAGATTTTAATTCATTTGTACAATGAGAACAATTTAATGAAACCTTGGAGAGAAAAGTGTATAGTAATATTCCCCTGTGGAGGGGTGTTTGTATAGTCACCTGCCTCTAAAAATGGAGCGGTGTATATAAGTTTTCATGTCCATCTGTCTGTCCATAAATAGGACATAAGTTATAGGTTTGTGATACTCGAGACATCCTTGATGGTGCAAATTGTGGTCTGTTCCACCTTAAGACCTGTGGTCTGTGACTCAGGTTACTGGGTGCATTCCCTGAAGTAGACCATTAAACTTCTCTAGTTGGACACAAGTAATTCATGTAGATACTTCAATGTTAGCCTCAGCATGCCTTCACATAAAACAGTTTAAGCTGCTGAACACAAATTTGACTTCTGGTCACAATAGCTTCCCATGCTGGAGGATTATCTGCATTGACCCAGCTGCATTACAATGAAAGCTGGAAGCTGGGCCCAAGACACCCCAGCCTTCACTTTCTGTTTTGATTGTTTTATCAGCAAAAGTAATGCACATCCATTATAACATTTGTGCAGGGCTCCTTGAAAGTCCTGCTTCACCACAGTAAAAACTGTTGGAAGCCAGTGCCCTCTTCAGAGGACTCTTTCTGTGGCTTTACAAGATTTGAACTTCTGGGTCATCATCACAGATTCTTCACACTGTTTATGGCCAGTCATTTTCCTGGATTCTTCCTCCACCATTTGTACTGGCTGCCATGTATTGCTTATCTTGTTCTATAAAATAGCAGTAACCCCCTCCCCCCCAAAAGCAACAACAATTATCTCCCTTGGTAAACTTTAATGCCACTACTGACTTGGTTCCCTTGGGACATCTGCATATACACCTACACAGTATCTCCTTACTGCACTGTAGAGACCACACATACATTTGTTATCAGCTCTGGACCAGATTTTGATCCCCTTTGTATTGGTGTATGAATAGAGACAAATTTCTGAATGGGATGCCCATGCATGCACTGGACCCCTACTTATATCTGTTTATTGATGCATCAGATTTTCATTGGAGCTGGAGACATGATTCTCTAGGGTCACTGGACTCAGGACGAATCATCCCTCTGGATTAGCAATCCCAAAATGTTGGATTTTTTCATTTTTTGTTAGGCTATACAGAGTAAGATGTCAATGTGTTATTGTCCCCTCTGACAACACGTAGTGTATCTCCAACATCAAGGAAGTACACATGCTCCTTCTCTCTGTATGGAACCTGTTTTACTTGGCTTCAATTGAAAAGATCGCTAAGTTAACCATTCTGGTAAATGCTATCGACCATTATAACACGTTTCACTATAACACAATTCCAGGTATAACATAGAAACATCACGGACACCAAAATAAAGACTATAAAATTTAAATTTAAAAAAAATTTCAAAGTTTTCAGCCTCTTTCAGCTGTATCAGAAACCACTTTGGACATGATCAATCCTAATAAAGTATACATGCAAGCCACCATAAATACTTAGTTTACCGCATCCTAGCTTTTGTTTATCTATTTTTATTGATTTTCTTTTTTTAAAATTTTTGTTATATAATTGGAAAGTATTCAAAGTTGCCAAATTGTAGACATAAAAGAATCTTGATCAGAGCTTTACCTCCCCACAAGGGTTAGCTTGGTCATTATGATCAGTTTTGCACAGGATCTTAATGTTACATGTATATACTAGTACAAGAGAGGTCTTTCAACATCAGTGATTAACCTCACATATATCAAAACCATAAGTGAGAAAGGTAAAGTACTAGTGCTGGTGTTTTAATCTGACACTAGATCTTTAGAAATTGAAAATATAATACAAGATTTTAGCAGACTGCCTCATTCTGTTGGACTCAACAGTTTACTTTGTGAAAGACCATTGGATTGCATAGAATGAGCCAGTTTGTTGGGAGACTTGTTAGGTATAATGGGTTTAATATATTTTCGGTTTTTAATTATATAGTGGTGTGTCAGCAGTGTTAGGTAAGTGTTGCTTGAGTTTTGATGGGATATAAGATTGGGGTGGGAGAGGGGTTATAGGCCATAAAGAATGTAAGACTTTTGAAGAATTACTTTTTCAGTTTTGATTTGATTGTGAATCCTCAGTCCAAATTGTTTTTTTTAGTCTTATGACTAGATTATTTGTAAATGTTACAGTCGCTTGAAAAAAAGAGCAGTTTTAATTAGTTTTTGAAAGGCAGCATGTTGTTTATCAGTGTGTGTAATTTGGATTTTTAAAGTTGATTTAAAATTTTTTTAATCATATCGCTGCATTGTTGGCAGTGTGGTAGTTCATATTAATGTGGACAACTGGGTCAACATACAACAGACCTGTAGCATGCCCTACCCAGTCACATTTTAACACCAAGCTGACCAATCCTAACACTCACCTCTTATTGCTGCGTGCCTAGTGAAGCAGCTGCTAGTACCATTTTTACAAGTCTTTGATATGACTCAACAGGGGTTCGAACCTGCAACCTCCTGCATACAAGGCAGACACTCTACCCACTTAAGCCACCAGAGTAATCTATTTATCATTGGATATAAGTTAAAAGTATCATGTGTATATATATATATATATATATATATATATATATATATATATATATATATATATATATATATATATATATATATATATATATAAAGTACATGACCAGGGCCTGTTCTAGGACATAGAATTCATATTCATGATAATTTCAAAATCATCACCCCAAATAATTCATCCAGATGTACAATGGGGTATATAAACTACACACTGACATAATATGAGTGTTTTGGATTTTTAACGTAGCTTTAACAATTTTGAAGTCATATTGCTACGATGTATATACCAATGTGGCTATATGAAAAAGCATGCGAGTAGCTTCTCGTGGATTGGTGGTTCTTTCCTTTTCCCCGGCTTCTTCCTCCACCATTTATACTGGCCACCATGTATAGCGTATCCTGTGCTGAAAAATAGCATTAAACCCTATAACAACAACAACTACGATGTATGTAGTGTGGCAGTTTATAGTGATATCTAGCATTGGGACATCATGTTGCAGAAACATAGCATGATGTCCCACCCTGTCACATTATCCTGACACCAGGCTGACCAGTCCTAACACTAACAAGTTTTAATGCTGAGTGCTAAGCAGGGCAGCTGTAAGTACAATGGTTTTTAAGTCTTTGATATGACTCTGCAAAGGTTCAAACCCAAAACCCCCTTCATCTTTGGCAGACACTAACCAATAGGTCACTTGAGCAGTCTGACAATATTTTAAACCCTTGGATGGGTTTTAATGTAAAAATTTGTTTGTTTTGAGCTTTGTTTTTTTAAATTAATATATGTGCATTCAGTCCTGTTTGGCTAATCCTAGCAAGACCAGGCATGAATTTTGGTTTAGAAAAGGTAGAAATTTGATGATTAGGTAAGGGTACCACAGTATAATCAAGAAAGAAGAGTTATTCAGCAAGGATCAAGTAAAGGTCTCACATGACAGTTCTGTTTAAATTGGCATATATACACAAATTACAGATACACAAGTCATAGTGAAAATTGTACATCTCTCCAAGGCTTTACTCTCTGTACCTCACCCAACCCAATCTTAATGTAGAAAAAATATTGTAAGCTAAAATAAAGTTAATAGTGATATGAACATACAAAAGGTTTCCCCCCTCCACACTCCATTTGAACTCTAGACAAATTTTGTTTCAAGGGAGTTGAATCTCATCTAAGTTTGACAGATGTTGCTGACACCTATGATGCATAGCATGGTGGTATATTTTATGCAGAAAATTTGATTAAAAGTGGTTACAGTAATATTTAAATGCATTCAGATTATGTGAAACAATTTAATTTAAGAATTTAGTTTAGATATTTTAGTGTGTTGCTCTTGGTGTAAGCTCAATTTAGCATTTTTGGGGCAAATTTGTTTTGGAATTTTTGCCCAGATTCCAAGAATTTGTTAAAAATTTTCGTAGTAGAAGACATCCTAATCCCTATAGTTCATCGTAGAACAACAAACATGTGACTTCTCTGGTGGCCAAAGTGGTTAGGATAACTGCCTCGGATGTGGGAGGTCATGGGTTTGAACCCCAGCAACTAGTCATACCAAATACTTATTAAAAATGGTACTAGCAGCTGCCTCGCTTGGCACTCAGCATTAGGAGGTCAGAGTTAGGAGATGTAAGCCTGATGTCAGGGCTGTCGGGGTGGGACAAGATGGCACATGTTTGTGGCATTATGCCTTGGCGCTATACATCCAATATAAACTGTCACACTGCAGACATCATAGCAATGTCACTGAAAAATTGTTAAAGCTACATTAAGAATCCTAATCACACACACACACATGCACCTATGCACATATGCACACACATGATGTATCAGATTTGCCACCATTTTTGCTTTTTTCACTCCCATTTTAGAGCTGGTCAGAGGTCATAGTGTCAAGAACAATGTTCATGAACAAAGTTCTTCTCAATAGGGTGAGAAGAAATACAAGAACTTTGTTTGCATATAAGGATAATGGTCTTACCCAAAGACACCTTATGTAGGTGTATGTTGTTAGATGGTGTATTGGATGAATACTTTACTGTTTATTCTGGTTCTGGATGTTCCATGCATGTTTAAAATGACAGTACTTAATGGGGACCCCAGGTGGCAGAGTAGTCTAAAGTGCTCACCATTACAGACCATTGCCATCTCACCCTCTGCATGGATTCAAGTCAAGTTCAGCCAAAGCATGCCAGTAGCTTCTTGTGGGTCGGTAGTTCTTTCTGGGGTTTTCCTGGGTTCTTCCTCCACTGTTTATAATGGCCATCATGCATTGCCTATCTTGTGTTGAAAAATGGCATTAAACCCTACAACAGCAACACTTAATGTGAGAACACTTACTAGAGCAGAGCAGTGTAATTGAATGCATACTGTATTAGGCTTAATCACTGAGCTGTTTGATGAGTTCAGAAAGGTATGAATTCCATATTGAAGATTAAGATTTTAGTTCTCATTGCCCAAATTTTGTGTTTTGCAGTGTTTACAAAATACCTATTGAATTAAAAAAGATGCAGTTTGTTCCAAATAAAAGAGTACATATTATCACATGTCATATAGTTAACATGTCAAATAATGCCCCAGGACATCACAAATCATAACATCATGCAGAAGAAAGGAGACAAAGAAAGTCATTTTAAAAACATACTACTTGGTTTTCTTTATTTTATTATTGAAAACAAATATTTTTCTTCAAAAACATTATTGTTTTGTTAAATATTATCAGCTGGAAATTATTGTATCACAAATGAAGCCTATTTGGCCTGTAAATTGCACCTGTGGAAATCTTTTAAACATGTTCTTGATAGTTAGGAACTGATTGGGATAAAATTTTCTTACTGGAGCACTATTATGTAGTCAGGTCTTGTTTATCTGACTCAAAACATTGCCACAAAAAAAACTTGTTAGATAACTGAATTGATAAAAAGTGTCAGGTGATATGATGCCATACACTTAGCCTGTGAGGTGTGCAAATTATAAGGCTGTAAATATAGGTTATTTCCAGTTTGTAATACAATCTATTTAAAAAAATCATTATTTAGAACTTTAAGATAGGATTGTCAGTTGTACATTTATTTCAATTTTATTAGCATCCTGAATATCTGTGATTTCCTGGCTTGTATGGTTTTAATTGATGATTACATACCACAGGGATCAGAATTAAGTATATATTTGATAGAATTTCTGTTATTCAGTCTGTAACTATCCCCATTAACCTTGGAAGATTGAACAATTGCAATAACATCAATCAAAAGACAGATTTACTTTAAACACATGATAGGATGCCTCATGGCTATTTGATTAGGCAGTGGGACAGAGTCAAGTTCATAGGCAATAATTATGGAAGTAAATTTAGTAGCTCCTTGACTCATCACTTAGGCAGGAATAGAGAATCCACATCTATAATGAAATTATCCTGTCAGTAATATAAAGTGACTATAGTATATGTCATCAGATACAATGTACATGTATACTTCTTTCTGTTCATGCTGTTTCATGGGAAATTGTAAAGGCTCTGAACAGTAGTCTGTTGGCCAGGACTCTTTCCTGTAAACCATGGAGCTTGTTAGCCAGGACACTTTCCTGTAAACCATGGAGGCTTGTTGGCCAGGACTCTTTCCTGTAAACCATGGAGGCTTGTTGGCCAAGACTCTTTCCTGTAAACCATGGAGGCTTGTTGGCCAGGACTCTTTCCTGTAAACCATGGAGGCTTGTTGGCCAGGACTCTTTCCTGTAAACCATGGAGGCTTGTTGGCCAGGACACTCCTGTAAATAGTAGCTTTTTGGATAGGACTCTTCTGTAAACATCAGCTTGTTAGCCAGGACTTTTATATCAGCTTCTTGTTGGCCAGGACTCTGGTAAATAGTAGCTCATTGGCCTGGACTCACCTGTAAATAGTAGCTTGTTGGCCTGGACTCTACAGTAAATAGTAGCTCATTGGCCTGGACTCGCCTGTGAACAGTGGCATTTTGGCTAGGACTCTCTTCTGGAAACAGTAACTTGCTGACCAGGACTTTTTTAAACAATGGCTTTTAGGCTAGGACTCTATCTTGTAAACAGTGGCTTGCTGGCCAGGACTGTCCTGTGAACAGTGGCTTTTTGACTAGAACTTCCTTCTGGAAAGAGTAACTTGCTGACCAGGACAGCGGCTTTTTGCTAGGACTTTCCTCTGGACACAGTAGCTTGTTGACCAGGACTCGCTTATAAGCAGTGGCTTTTTTTAATGTGACTATGTCCTGTAAAAAGTGGCCTGTTGGTCAGGACTTACCTCTAAACACTAGATTGTTGGTCAGGACTCTTGGTATGCTTGGTATAAATTCAGAAAAATTACATGAGAAAAGTGATGCAAAATTACATAGGGGATGCTTCTCTGAATGTGATATAAAAAAAATTTTTTCAAAAAAGGTTTTAGCTCTGGTAAAATTACACTCATTGGAGCAAATTACACTAATTGGAGCAATTTAAATGAGTTATACTGGGATATGAGGCTTATTATGAACACCAGAGGTTCCCTGTCTGTGTCCCAGGGGTCTTTCTGGATCAGAAAGTGTGTGGGTCCTTTTGATGGACTGGTGGCAAGTTTGCCATCCTGAAGTAAAGCAAGATTGTAATTTATCCATTGGTCAAACCAGATTTCTATCTGAATTAGATAGACATATAGGTTGCTCCTTCAAATACAAAATCAATAAAACTTTATCAGCTCTTCAGTTTTCTTTCAGACTGATCATGGTTCATCTGAGTATTATTCAAGCTGCAGCTAAAACTTAATTTAGTTTTAAAAATCGATGAGAATTTAAAGGTGGATTATTCATTGAGATATTACAAAAATCCTTTTCAGACTTTGGGTTTATTTTCTAACTGTTGATCTGAATTATTGATTATTGAGGTAAAATTTAAATGATGCATTCGTATGTACTGGTACTTACCTTTGTTTGCAAAGCACAGTAAATATTAGTCACAATTAGTAATGTTTTCAAACATTA